GCCGGCCGGGGCGTTGGCTGCTCCGTTCATTCCAGCTCCCTCCCTCGGCTGCTGTTTACAACCCCGTCCCCAACTCAGCTCTGAACCCTTCTTCTGTCTCTCTGTCCCTCCCTCCCTCCTTCACAGCCTTATTCAAACATGTTTTGCCACTTCTTTGCCTTAATCCCGGGTCCACCTTTCTTATTATCTTCTTGCTCCCTCAGCATCCACACATGGCCATCTGTCGCTGCCGCTGGGACTCTAACCGTGCTCGGTGTGGCCACCTGCCCTGCTCTCCCTGCCCACTTTCGCCCCCTTGCTCTAGTCCCAACAGTCTTTCTTCGCCTTCTTTCTACTCAGGGTCTGCCCTCAAAGCCCTGTGTCTTGTCTCTGGTTCTCTAATCAGCCGTCACTTGGGTTCTGCTTGGGCCTGAAGATTTCTATTAGGACTGAGCGTAATGGGGGGTTGCCAGTCTCCCAGCTGTCTGGTCTGAGTAATTCAGGAACTCCTTATTTGAAGCCTGAGACTTAAATACAGGCAGGCTGGGATTTGAATTGAGCTAGAGGAGGAAGATATTCCTCAACTTCGTATTTTGAGTTTGGGTTAGGAGTTTGGGGGTTTCAGAATTGCTTAGGAAATGATGTTTTGATCCCAGCATCACCCAGGTGGTTTGCTGCTCAGCTGGGAAAGATGACCGGGTAGGAAGCAATGGAAGCGAATGGAGAGGGGCCGGAGGTTTGCCAGGGAGCTAATCTCTTGGGCTCCTTTGTGAATGGGGTGGAGGTGGGGTCTGGGTGATCCCAGATCACAGATGGCTCAGAGAAGGGCTGACAGTCATTTCTCCACTTCTAAGGCTGACATGCCAAACGGCCCTCGTGGAGGGGAAGTCTGCTTTCAAGGAGACTGCAGACAGCACCCTTCACTTCCTTTCTGGGATCGAAGTTTAAAAGCCATGATTACTTTCTGAGCTGTCGGCGGCTTTCTTTCCCTGTAATACGCAGATTTCAGAGAAGGGGACTGTGGTGAGAAGGGAGGGGACCGGGGAATCCCCCTGGCAAGGGGCCTACCCACAGAGCGCCCCTTTGTGGTTGTTATGGAAACAGGCATAATAGGAACAAAACAGAGGCAGTCGCCTGGCAACAGAAGTCTAAGGTTGATCGCAAGCACTACACACACTATCAGGGAACCCCCGAGGGAACATCCCTTCTGAGGAAGCTGGGGTATCCCAGTGATGACGAGTCCTAGAACTCACCTGGCTTTGCCAGGGACTCTGGAGGACTGTGGTGTGGGACTTTGCCTCTCAAGTGGGAGGGAGTGCCAACTGGAGGGCTGAAGTCCTCCCTGGTCCCTGGGTAGACTTTATTTTGACTGAAGAGTCTGAAACCTGACAAAGGTTTTCTTTGCAATGTTGGGACCAAGGGGACTCCTTATAACTTAAAATTAGTGTGTGTGTGTGTGTGTGTGTGTGTGTCTCGGGGCAGGGGAGGTAGCCATGGAAATGACCTGATAGAAAATATAACGTCCAGTTTCTCCAAAGCATAGGACCTGCAAGGAACTCAGAGCACAAGGTAAGAGGGCATCAGAGTACACATTTCCTTCTAAACCGAGTGCCTCGAGGGCAGGGCTTCCATCTTGTAAGTTTTCTATTGTCTGCATCACCAGTAGTACCACCAGCACCATAGGCGCCCCGGCCCAGTGTTGGACACAGTAAATGTTTGTGCAGCTGCATGAGAGCCCACAAGTGGGGTAATTGCTCCCTGGGGGTTGAGAGTGAGGGGTGCAGGATGATGTTGTGAAGAGAATGACAGTTTGGGGCCAGTTACACCTGTAGTTCATTCCTTCCTTCCTTCCTTCATTCATTCAACAAAGTCTTCTCGGCCGAGTGGCGAGTTGGTTAAGAGTTGGCTTGAGATGCCAGCTCTGAGCAGCAGGGCCCTGGTTTGGATCCCACATGAGGGCCAGTGACGCTGCACCCTCTACAACTAAGATGGTGAACAACAGCTTAGCCTGGAGCTGGGCTGCCATGAGTTGCCGGCAACAGCATAGGCTGCAGCCCCTGCTGCAGTGGGCTGCCGTGAGCTACCGTGAGTGGCTGGCAGCCAGTGTGAGTGGCTGGCAGCTGGCATGAGCTGCCTGTGAACCGCCATGAGCTGCCGTCCAATGGCCAGCGAGCGACTGCCTCACCCGGGAAGAGTGCAATGATAATACAAACATGGACCAGTGAAGCGACGTCCTCCACAACTAGACAGAAGAACAAAAGGACAGCAACTTGTCTGTTCCCCTCCCCAAATTCCCCAATTAAAATCTTAAAAAAAATAAACACAAACAACAACAAAGTCTTCTTGATTGCTATGTGCCAGCCACTGTTCTAGGCATGAGGCATACAGCAGCAAACAAGATATCCCTGCCCTGGTGCTTAGATGCTAGTGGGAGCTGTGACTCTTGCTTCTGAGGACTTGAGACCATTTCCTCCCAGAGTGTGTGAGGATTAAATGAGGTAACACATGAAAGTGTCTGCTACAGTTTCAAACACAATCACCATTCATGTAGCATTGTGGGGTGAGGGGTGGGGGGCTGTAGCAGTGGGCAGAAATTTCTAAGTGTGTGTCTTCAATTACACCATTGAAAACTGTTGAGTTAAAAAAAAATGTTGAAAATATTCCCTTCACCTGGGCTGAGGAGGCTGACCTAGGAAACCCCAGCTCTGGTTCTAGCAGGCACGATCATAGTTTTTTAGGGGGCAAGGTCTTGGTTATGCCTTCTCTATCTCCTATCCTGGAATGGGGCGGTGGGAGCCAGTCCCCAGGACCATTCCCCTACCAATACCCCTGAATGAAGTACCTGGACAGTAATCACTGCTCAGGGCTGCTCCAGAAAACCTCCTCTTCTGCCTTCTTCCCTGTTGACCAAGAGGGTGGCCAGAACAAACAATGGAGAAGGTAAGTTGGCTCTGAGCCTGGACACCAGCCTTTGCATTTCACTCCTGGGGGGCCAATGGAGCCCAAGCTGAGGTGAGGGCACAGCATCCACACCCTCCCCACTCTTCCTTTCTTGCTGCAGCCCCTCCCTCCAAACTCCCACAGCCCTTATTTTTTGCAGCTACCCCATGTCTTTGTGGCAAATGTTACATCATAACTATCTTTCTGAAAACCTAGGTGTAAAGCAGCTCCCATTTTAATATGCACTGGGAAAACTTGCACTTTCAGGGAACCAAATGATTCAAAAGGGGAGGAAGGAGATGGTTACTCTGTATCGTTCCACCTTTCTGCATTATTTACATTGTTCCTCATATGGAGGTACTGGCTTTATTTAAAACAGGTCAACAAGGATTATCTGATTTGCAGCATTACAGGCCACTTTAGTTTGTCTGTATGCTTGGTTTTGCTCCATATTTAAAATGCTGAATAAATGTGATTTAAAAGGAAATAAAAATTTAAAAGCCATTGGTAAAGGAAATAATTAGCTCTTGGTTTTTATTTTTTAAAAGCATCCCAAAGTTGAAAAGTTTAGATTTTCTTCTTTAAGTACGGTAGGTGCTAGGAAAGGGGTACAGAACAAAATGGAGGTGATTCTTCAGAAAGTCTGGTCTATGACTATGCTTGTGATGTGTGTGGGGGACTGCCTCTGCTGTGGGTTTGAGCCACTACCTGGGTACTTGTGTGTGTGTGTGTGTGTGTGTGTGTGAGAGAGAGAGAGAGAGAGAGAGAGAGAGAGAGGGAGAGGGAGAGAGGAAAATGCTGGTGCACAGCTCTGTTTTCTCTGTGTCTTTGCATGTCCATACCTGTCTGAATGTCTACACATGTGTCTCCTCCACCTTTCTGTGCCCATTATATGAGTGTCTGCATGTCTCTGGCTCCTTTTGCTGTGTCTTCCCTCCCCCACGGCCTGTACCCTGTGCCGGTAACTGGACCTGGGACACAGCCCCCAGGGCTGGCATTAGAGTTGGCTGCTGGGTATTTTTAGCCTGTAAACATGTTTGCCATTTCAGAGGACAGGGCCTCTGGTCTCAGCCCCAGCCCACTCATGATCCTGAAGCAAGGGGGGTGCTCCTGTCTAGGCGGGTTTTCTTAGGTCACCAGCCTGGGGTCCCCCTTCCCAAGCATTTGGGAAGGAAAGAAAACTGGCTTGATGTGGGCAGTGGGTGGCCACCTAGGAGGGAGGACAGAGGATTCATGGGGGAGAAGGGAATGGGGGTGTGGAAGGGGGATGTGTAGCCAGAAGGACCCCACACCCCATCATTAAAGCATTTAATAAAATCTCCACGCAGTTGGAAGTGGCTGTGGGAAATGGCTGTAAATTTAGAAACAAAGCGTCCTGCGAGTGGGGAGGTGGGGGAGGGGCTCAGGGAGAGGATCTGAGGAGGAACGGGCAGGTAGAGGACAGGCCAGAGCTCTGGCCTCCCTCAGGGACTCTGGAGAGGGAGCTGGCGGCAGGGGCTGCGCCTCCAAAGGGTTGCAGGCCTGACTCCTGTGTCACTGCAGCAGCCCAAGCAGCATGATGGTGATGGGGCGCTAGTGACCCTGGCTCCAGGAGGTGAGGCCAGCGCCTCTAGGTTGATTGTGTGGGGGCAGGGGCTGAGTGGCACCTAGAAAGAGGGAAGGCGAGAAATGGGCACGCCTGCTTGGAGCTTGGGAACCAAGTGAAGAGACTGGGGCCTAGGATTTGAAGTATAGTGGCTTGCGTTGAGAGAAAACTCAAAAGGCCCCTGTCAAGCTGGAGGTCGCGGCTGAATCACCCCAGCCCCCCAGCCGCTTTCTGAATCCCTTGGTCCTTCCTGCAAAATGTTCTGATTCGCACTTCCAGCTGCGAGGATGAGCCTCAGGGAGCTCTGGCGAGTTTCTTGCGGGTGAAGCCACACACTGCATACGTTGGAAGTAGATCCAGGGCCGAGCCAGGACAAGGGGAAGGGATGGGGAGCGGGGGTAGGTAGTACCTCGCTCGTTCCAGTCCCACTCCGGCCCCGCCCGGCCCCGCCCTCTCCCCACATCTCGGGGCAGACCCGCCCGCCCCAGCCGGAGTTACAAGAGCCGCCTCCGCGCAAGGGGGCCCGGCCACTCGGAGCAGCTCCGCCGCGGGGACTGCACCGCCCGCCCTGCCGGACCCGCCCCGACCGGGGCTCGCCGCCTGCAGCAGCCACAGAACCGCGACCTCGGGCCCTGCGCGGGCCATGGCTGTGCCCTGGGGCTGAGCGCGCAGGTAGGGGCGTCCCGCGCACCGCGGCGCGGTCTGGGCACAGGACACCGGGAACAGGCGAGGGAAGGTGGGCAGCAGGGCTTGGGCGAGGCGCTTTGGTGGGTGTCACTGTGAGGATTCAAAGTTTGGAACAAGCTGGGCACCCCGGGGCGGCGCGGGGAGGCGACGCGTCGCTCACTGGGAGCCTAGCTCTGGCTCCGGAGTTGGGGCACAAGTTGGGCAAAGTTGGAAAATCGCTCCGAAACGTGCTTTGCTCCAGTCTGTATTTCTCTTGAGGGTTGATTTCGGCCCAACTGCAAGGCAGGGCGTCGCTTTCCTGGCCTGACGGCTTCTGATGGCCCCGTCCCACCCCCTCCCTCTCCTTGGGGCGGTGGCTCAGCGCTATGCTCCGTTCCTATTCCATGTTTACTGGAGAAGTTTCCGAGATCGCCGCCGCGCTTTGCGCCCCTCCGGGCGCCCCTGCGCCCCCGCGCTTTGCGCCGCTCCACTGTTCCTCCCAGCTCCCCACACCTCCGCCCCGAACTCGTCCCGAGTACTCCCCGCCCCACCCAGTTCTGTACCACAGGCCTTTCCCTCTTGCTGGTGGCGGTCCCCCCCAGCCCCCTTCCAGCTGCCCCACCCTAGTCTTGCCCCTCTGTGTCCCCGCTCCCGAAAACTCCCTTCTCCCTCTAGGGCCGCGGAGCCTGGAACTTTGCAGCGCGCCTCCCTGCGGGACGGGTGGGAGTGGGGGTGGGGGACTTAATTAGGGAGATTCCTGCACTGGGGTGGGCGGGGAGGGGGGGGCTGCGCAGAGGCACAGCCCTCGGGACCGCCCCTTCCCTTCGGAGGCGGTGCTCTCTCCCCCACCCCACTCCCAAACCCGTCCGGGCGGGATGGCCCCCGCCCCAGCGCCTGGATTGGCGCCAGCAGCCTGAGGAATGTGGTGGTTGGAGCCGGTGACTAATTCAAACCAGAACTCGGGGAGGAGTGGTAAGGGGCAAAGAGGAGGGGGAAGGGGCTGTGTGTGTGGAAGGCGGGGGCAGGAGTCGGGCTCCGCGTAGGAGGAGGGCTGAGATGCGCTCTCTGCAGCCCTCCACTTGAGCAGTGCGCTCCAGGAGAGGGCCCGGGGGCCGGGTCCTGCCGTGGAGTTTCAAAGGCAGTGTGCCTAGGGTGTGTTCGAACTATGTTATGTAAGGCTTTCGCATGCAGGGAGAGGGTGTGCAATATGCGAGGGCTTGGCCCTTCCTTGGCAGGACTGGGCACCCCCTGTAGGGCCAGGGTCCGGGATGTGGGGGCGCAGCCCCTTGGCCCCGCTTGTCGAGTGGGACACGTGGGGTTTGAGCAGGTCTGACTGTGCCCCTTGCGTGGGAGGGGAGCGGAATGGCAAACAGGGAATCTCACAGCTCTAGCTGGGCCCGAGCAGCAAGTAGGCGACGGATCTGGCGCCTCTGCATGATGTGGCTACAGAGAATTGTCTGCGTTGTGTGTGGTCGCACCTTTCACAGGGTGGGGCCACGGAGAGGTAGTGGTGAGGTGCGTCCCCAGGGAGCCTGCAGTCGCTGCTGAGTGCCTTGATCTGTGGAGTGGATTTGTGGAAAGGCAGGGCTGGATCTTCCCATGGCAGTGGGGTCCTTAGAAAATGACCTGGAGTTTATGGGGGAGAAGGGACCCAGATATTTACTTCTGCCCCCAGCACAGGGCTGAGCTCCCAATAATTGGTTTCGAAAGTTTCCTCTATTAGAATCCAGACTCTGATTGCAGGCATCACATGCCCCCTCCCCACAGCCTAGCACATGAGAGGGATTGGGTTGATTTTGTGGGATGCAGTGATGCCTTGGGGGGCTGTGGTGACAGGTGAAGGCAAGGGAGTGGGGAGGGAAGGAGGGAGAGATTGAAAAGGCCTTGGAAAGGATTTTTAAGGCCTTCACACCTATGCTAGGTCTAAATTAGGGGAGTAGATTCTGCTTTCAGGCCCCTCGTCCCCTGCCTGCCATGAGGGAAACCCCTGGGGCAGGGTGTGGCACTCACGTCCTTTCTGAAGCTGAATGGGGAAGCTTCCTTCTCTGCCCACAGGGATGATGGGCTGGGCTAGGCCAGCACGTGGGCGTGGGCGGTGAGTTGCAGAGTAGGGAGTAGAGGGAACCCCAGGCTTAGGGGGCACTGCCCTCCTTGCTGTGAGCTGTGAGCTGTGGGATGAGGGATGAGGGATGAGGAAGGGTGGGAGAGGACCTGGGACCCTGAGAGCTGAGCTGGCAGAGAACACAGGGTTTTTGGGGGCTTGGAGATGGAGACTGGAGGGTGTCTCTAAAGCTCTGACCTTAAGATGTTATGTGCAGGGAATACTGGTCAGAGAACAGGACACACAGGGAGCCACATAAATCACGTGGGGCTTGGTGCTGCCAGTGTGGAGCCCACAGCAGTGAATCAGGGGCCCCGGTCTGGGCAGCTCCTTGAAGAGCTAACCTCACAGAGCTAAGGATTTGCACCAGTCAGACTTGGTTCAGGGAGTGGGGCTATAGGTCCAGGGCCCAGGATGGGAAAGAGAGAGTGAACCATGGGAGACTTGTAAGGGAGGAGGCCAGCATTGGTCAAGGGCAGGGAATGGGCTGGGGGTCCCCGGGGTCACCTCGGTCCCAGGGAGGCCCTGGGTGGAGGTGCCTGGGCACTGCCAGGCTGGATTTTTTGGCTCAACTTGGAATTGGCTGGCTCGTCCTGGCAGAGCACACCACCCAGAGCCTGAGGAGCTGGTTTGAGGGGTTGGGGCAAAGCTGTGGGGGCGGAGGGCTGTGTGGGGCTCTGGGGTGTGGTCACCACCTTCCTCAGAACTTGGGAACCGCCTGGGGACAGAAAGAAGGGCAGACTGGGAGAGCTAGTCTGACTCCTGACAGGAACTCTCCCCCTGCTGGCTCTCTCCCTGCACCACTCCCAGCTGCCCCCCAAGTTTCTCTCCCTGGAGCTGGGCTGACCACGTGGAAGGGAGGTGGCCACTGGAGAGGGCTTAGAATGTTCTGTTTTGTTGGTGGTGAGTGTCTAGAGCTCTCCCTTTGTCCCCCATGGCTTCACCCAGGCTTCCAGGGAGCTGCCATTGCCTCAGGCTCACAGCCATGTGGGTGGGCTACAGCAGGGTTCTGCAGGAATGCATGTTTTGGTGAGGCCCCTTTTCCTTTCTGCTGGCCTTAGTTCCCATCAGCAGGGGCTGGGCTGTTGTAGCTGGAGGTCCTGGGTCCAGGGGTTGATGTTTCACTGTGGTCTTGGGTCACTGTGTCTTGTCACAGCAGTGAGATGTGTGTTACTACCTGTGAGAGGGTGTCCCTGTCTATGCATGGTGGTCGTTGCATTGCAGTGGGCCTGGATATGTCCTCTGCTGGCGTCAGGGGGTTACAGGGCAGGGGACAGCGATGGGACTCTACCCTGGTGGTGGAGGTTTCATGGGGGCTGCCAGTAAGGATTGAAGTACGTTTCTCCCTCCGGACAGGTTCCGGGTCCTGGAGTTTGTGTCCAGAGGCCCGAAGGAGGGCAAGGACAGCTCTGGGATTGAGGCCCCAGCTGAGCTGCACATGGTGGTCAGGGAGGGGCATCCTGCCCTGTCCCCTGGGGCCATGAGCGGAGGTTCTAGGGGAAGGGGAAGTGCCTGGAGCTGATCCGGGCTTGGCCTCGTGTCCTGGCTGGGCTGGGGGCCGCTCTTTGGTAGCTGAGTGCCCTGCACTGGCATGGCCTGACCGCTGGGTGGCGAGCTGGGCTGCGGTGGGGGCCACGGCTGGGGCGCCCAGTTGGGCCAGTGGGCAGCTCTCAAGCTGTAATCTGCCCCTAGGGAGAGCCAGTGCATTCTTGACCCTGTTCCCCTGCTCCCCGTGGAGGGGGCCACCTGCAGAGTTGGTGTCTTAATCCCAGCGGTCCTGGGTTAAGACGCACTGTTCCCTGGCTCTGTGGCCAGGTGTGGGGACTTCCTGCTGGAGGCTGTAGTGCTGCCCCCAGCCCCCTGTCACAAGGAGCGGGGGAGTCCCTCTTGGTCAGGGGAGGAAGAGGGAAGCTCCCTCCGCACTGAAAGTGAGAAACTGGGAACTCCTGGGTTTCGGAGCGGATCGTTGAGGGAATGGGAGGAAGCTAGCATGGCCGGGGGAGAGGTAGGAAAGGCAGCTGGGCGGAGCCCAGAAAGCAGCTGGCTGGCTGGGGTATGGGTGGGGCTGGGGCTGGGGCTGGGGCTGGAGGTGCAGAAAACTGCAGCCTGATGGTGAGGGCTGGAGAGGGCTGGTGTGAAGAGTATGGAAAAAACTTCCTCCTGGTGGGTTGTGGGCTGGGCAAGGGAGCCAGATAGGCAGAGACCCTGGGCACCAGGTTAACAGGTATAGGTGCTCTCCATGATAGGTAGGGCCTGCGGCTGCCCTGACAGGTGTCTGTTGTGAGCAGGTGAAGGCAGTAGCTGTGGGCCCGCTCTGGGCTGTGAAGAATGGGGAATGGGCAGATGAACATCTCTGTGTGCACACACCCTTGTTTGTCTTTCTCTGAATGTCCTCCATTGCCCATGTTGCCTGTGTCTTGCAAGGTGTTCTAATTCCCCCTGATAATTCCACCTCCCCCAACACACACACATCCCATTCAAGTTGAAGTTGCTCCCTACCCCACCCCTGTGTACCACCCAGAATCAGCTGAGTGTAAAAGTTCTTGCTTCCAGCTTAGATTTTGGAGATGACTGTGCAGTTCTACTCCAGTTAAAATAAGACCTGCTTTTTTTTTTTGGTTCCGGGACAGGGGTCTGGCAGCTGCAAACGTAGAGGTCTCTTTGGAGGCTTAGGCCCCAGAAGAGATCTGCTTCTGGGTTTCTTCTTGTTTCTCTGGGATGAGGGTCTGCCTGTTGCGGCTGTTCCCATTTCCCAGAAGTAGAAATGGTTGCCTTGCCCTGTCAGTGCCTGGCTCTAGAGAGGGGTTGCTTCTCAGGGCCGTCACCTGCTGGGGTCCAAGAGAGTCTACAGGTGAGCTGGGTTCTGGGCAGCTCAGGATTTCTGAGCCCTGGGGACATAGCCTCCATGAGCCTCAGAACCCAAAGTTCCCTCAAATCCTGGGCTCCGGGATGCCTGGGACACTGCGCATTCTGGGTTTGATGTCCCCAGGCTGCACCTGGATGAGGCCCACCTTCGTGTGGGTGTGTTTCTCTGGTTCTCACTGCCCCTCCTCCAGCACAGGTTTCTCTCTTCTGTTTGTCTCCCTTGGGCATCTTGCTCTGTGGTTTCTCATCCTGTGTGTGTATTTATTTGTGCCTTCGTCCCCCACCTCGGTAAAGACCGTGGGCCTTGGCATCAGAGGAACTCAGGCTTGCATTTCAACCCTGTCTTGTACTTGGGCAAATCATCCAACCTCTGGGGCCCGTTCGTTTTTTGCATCTCTAAATTAAGGATATTAATTTTTAATCACATAGGGTTGTTTGGAGATTGAATGAGACCCCAGGCATGGAACTAGAGCACAGTGCCTGGTACAGCATAGGCGTGCCACAAAATTCTCTTCTAACTTGTCGGAGATTTTCTTTCAATGTGGAGCTTTCTCTTTCTCTTTGATGTCTGGTGAGTGGTTATGAGAGTAGATGGCCTCTCTGGGTGTGTCTCTCTTTTCTTTGACTATCCCAACCCCTCCTTCTGGTGTTTGGGCTTTCCCTCTGGTGGCGGTTTCTAGCTCTGACAGTGCGTCATTGCATTCTCCTCGCTTCTCCCTGGCCTGTTTATATGGTGGGGTCGGCTCACTCGTGTGCAGGACGCTGTGCAGGGTGGACGTTTCATTGCTGTTCGTGTCCTCACCGTGGGTGGGAGTGCTTGTCTCTGCCTTAGAGTGGCACTTTTTGGGTCCAGCTGGAGCTGGATGGATGGATGTGCAAACTTGTACTTCTCTGGTGTCTATCTTGTCTTCAGGTTTGGGGCAGAGAGACATTAAGGCCCATGGCCTGTCTCTTTGGAAGCATGTGTCTATCAGGTCTTGTCATTTCATCACTGATGTCTTTGACTGCTGCAGCCATTAGTCCGGGCCCCTCCCCCCCTGTCTTCCTATTCCTACTGGCTTTTGCGAAGAAGGGCCTCTGTTCCCGTGGGACAGTGGCGGAGGATGCTCCTCTGGAGGTCACACCTGGTGGAGACCCTCTGCCCAGGGCAAGTTGCCTGCTTCCTGGATCTGTCCGCGTGTTAATCCCAGTCTCTGTCTGAGTGTTGACCGCCCCCAATCTCCAGAGGTGGTACGGGCAGAAGCCTTGCTGCTCTCTCTGCGCATCCTGTTTGCGGTTTTGAATTGACAGTCTTTTTCTTCTCGCTGCTTCTGGCTTGAATTACACTCTGTCCCCGCAGTCGCAGACGTGTGTCCTTTCAGCCTTGCAGCCGGCGTGGCCACACAATCTCACTCCTTTTCTGCCCTCCAAGCAGCCCTGTGCCTTAGAGGGTCTCCGCTGCAGTCCTGCTCACCCCTTCACCAAGGATACTGTGAGCCAGTGTCAGGTGGAGCACGGGTGGGCAGCCAACAGGCCTGGGTTCTAGGGCCTCAACACTCCTCTGTTCTCACCTCTGGACCTCACTTTCTCCATGTGTAAATAACCGGCAGTGCTGTCCCATAGACCTTTCTGAAGTGGCGGAAATGTGTCTACGCTGTTTAATATGGTAGCCGTGTGTGACTGTTGAGGTCTTGAAATATGACGACTGCAACCAATAAACTAAAATTTTAATTTAATTTCAGTGAATTTAAATAGCTACATGAGGCTACCATGTTGGATGGCACAGCTCTAAGCTTTCTTCTAGCTCCAAAGGCGTAGGACACTTGGCTGAACAGGCAGAATTCCCTAGCGCTCCAAAGACCCTGTTTTGGGTAACAGCAGGGTAGAGCCTCCCCAGCCCCTGGGGAGCCTGGCTTTCCCTGACTTGTGTGGGAGAAGGAAGGACCAGCTAGGCTCCAGGGGTGGGAGAGACTGAGTGCTGGGACCCAAATGCAGAGAACAGGCTCTTAAGACCATGACCTTGAATCCCCTATCAGCACCCCTATGTCTGGCCACCTGAGTGGCTCAGATCAGAAGAGAGGGGAGGGGAGTCCTTTGTGGCTGTGCCAGGAGGCCACTAAAACAGAGCAGACTGTGGGTGGGGTGTTTGGCACCCTGCTAGGGCCGACCTGTGGCCTCAGGTTCAATGCCTCCTACTTTCTGGGGCTGCGGACCCTTCTCTACTCAGGGCTGCCTTTTCCCCTCCTCATGAGCAGCATGGGCCCAGGCATGCAGCAAGCCCTGCTGAGCCTCCCAGCTGTGCTTCCAGGAACTCCTGGTCTGGGGCTCCCTCCCAGGGAGCTGGCAGCGAAGCTGACTGCCTGTGTCCACTAGAGCCCCACCCCACTGGCACTGGGGGTCTGGCCCGGGAAGTATTTTGTCGATGGGTTTTAGGTGTGACCCTTAGCATGTTTGGAGCTGTTGTGGCTTCAGTGACTCATTGGTGAAGGGGGGAGGGTGGGGCCTCGATGTGGGCGAGAGTAAGTTCACTCTCTTCCTTCGCAGGCTGCTGGCTCAGCACCAGGCTGCTGGGCCGAGAGATGGAGCCCCCACTCAGGGAGGAAGAGAAGGATGCCAGGGTGATCGGTGGCTTCAGAGATCTGAGAAGCCCTCAGGCTGGAAGGCTTTTTTCCTTCCCTGCCCTGGCTGGCTCTTATCTGCAGGGCTGGCTTCTCAGTGCCAAGGAGGCACCATTTAAGTTCCAGCTCTGCTGTTTCACATTGGGAAGGGTCAGGGTGACTTCCTGCAGCGACTCCTCTGCCTGTTGAGAAGGGAGGAGGTGTTGCCCCAGCTCACACCTGCGCCGTTCACCTGGCACAGTGCTGCTCAGCAGCACCTGTGCTGATGAGGAGACGCATCATTAATACCGCAGGTGTGAGTTCAGGCAGTGGGGGAACCG